GGGGCTGATGCTCTTCTTTCTTCTTTTTTTTTCTTTTGAGTTTGAGTCTCACTCTGTTGCCCAGCCTGGAGTGCAGTGGCCGTGAGCTCAGGCAATCCTGCCTCAGCCTTCCAAGCAGCTGGCACTACAGGTGTGCGCCATCATGCCCGACTAATTTTATTTTATTTTTTGTAGAAACGAGGTCTCGCCAAGTTGCCCAGGCTGGTCTCCCATCCCTGGGCTCAGGCACTCCTCTCGTCTCCGCCTCCCAAAGTGCTGGGATTACAGGTGTGAGCCACTGTGCCCGACTGTTTTCTGTCTTTAATGTCTCTTCTGCTTGGTTGCTCCAGCTCATCCCACTGTACGGCCAATGCTTAGGAAGGCTGCTAGCCATTTCCCCCACATGAACATCCAAACAGATCTGTATAAGTAGTACCCATCGCATGAATTCAACAAACTTTGAATGAATGCAGTGGCCAGCACACAGGACACATTCACAGACACTTCATGAATGCTTACACACCAACTCTGTCCTTGACCCAGTGCTGGATGCTACACGCTAGGAGATAGGAGGGAGAGGACAGAAAGTTCTAGTGATATCAAGTAGGTTCTGTCCTGGGGGGGAGGGGGGTTAACAGTCTCCAAGAGTAAGATGTCAATAAACAATTCAGAGCAAGAATCATTCAATGCCAGAAGTTTCTCTAAGTATGATGGAGAGGTAGAGGCTGCTGCAGGGAGAGCCCGAATGAGAGGGCGACATTCGAAGTTAGATTCCCCCCGAGTTCAGCGTTAACTCTGACCTCAGCTTCAGACCCACGAATGTGGACGCGCCCTCCTCCCCAGTCAAGCGCTGAAATCGTGCATACGCTTTTTTTTTTTTTTTTGGCTGGCTAACAAACTTTTCCCTCACGGCTAATGACTAATCCAAAGGAGCATTAGCTCACTTTGCAAATATGAAATTATGATATAGCAAAACAGAACGCCAAAAGCCACCAGTCTCGGATTGATTTCAGTTGCAAAATCGAAATCTTGCAGTCGCATTAGAAGAGAGTGAATTATATTGTGAGTTTCATCCCAAATATCAATGAACTCAAACGGTTCTACTTTAAGAGACGGAAAATGACGGCTTAATGGTAGAGCAGTCGTATGACACAAAGCATTGAACATGCAGCTCCTACTTTTTTATTGTGTGTGTGTGTGCGCGCGTGTGTGTGTGTGTGTGTGCGCGTTGTTGCTCGCAGCCAGACAGACTGTTCCGCTATCAATAAGGCCAGGGCCTCCCACGAGCCAACCGGCTGTCCGGGATGCACGCGCCCCTGCCATCCGCCTCTTGAAAAGGAAAGCGGGGGCCCGGGACGCCCTGGGGCGTGAGCGGGAGGGACTCGGGCGGGGAAAGTAACCCGAGTCGGCCGCGTCCGGCGGCCCCGCCCCCTCCCACGAGTTTCTCGGGGACTGGGCCCCGCCCCCTCTCTTATTCGGCTCGCGGCCACCGGGGCTGGAACTTTGCCACCCGAGCGCGCACGCTCTGCGCGGGTCCCTGCCAGGGAGGCTTCGGAGGGCGGCGCGGGAGGTGGGACCTGCGGCGGGAAGGCTCGGGGACGCCGGCGCACGCGGCGCGGGGACCCGGGAGAGCGCGCCGGTGGGAGGAGGAGCCCGTCGCGCGTCGGTGGCACGGAGGAAGCGCTCCCGGGCCGGGAGGCCCCAGCGCCGAACCGGGGCCGGGGTGTCTGGGGTCTCAGCCCGGCGCGCCTGCAGCTGCCGTGCCCAGGAGTAGCCGCTGTGCCCGGGGAGGCAGGAGGACCCGCAGCTGGACGGTGGCAGCTGGAGGGGGAGCCGCACGGCTGTCCTGTGTGCCGGCGAGAGGGCCGCGCTCCCCTGGCGGAGCCGCGCTGGGGTGGCACGCCGGCCGCGGCCATGCAGCCTTGACCGGGTCGCTCCGGCGCGCGGGGGACCAGCCGCGCTCTCTCGGGACGGGGCATCCGGGCGCAGCGGCGCTTCACCTCCGACCTCCTAGCCCAGCGGGGGGCGAAGTTGTTTACCATGGAGCCCGTAACGAAGTGGAGCCCCAAACAAGTGGTGGACTGGACTCGAGGTGAGCGGACCCTAGGGACCCCGAGTCCTCCAGCCCCGGGGTCCCGGCGGGCGGGGGTCCGGGGAAGGGGGTGCTCGGCCCCTCCTGGCGGCAGCAGCGGTGGGAGCGCAGCGCGGTGACAATGCAAACTTCTGCCGAGTGGCCTGTGCGCCCCGCACCCTCTTTCCTGCTCCGAGCTGTTCTTTTCAGGGTTGCCGATTGTGGCAAGCCGAGAGGAGCCCCGTCTTGAAACCAGGGAGGAGGGGTGGCCCTTCTGGGGGAGGTTGAGGACTGAGGATGCCAGCTTCGGACTCGAGGAGGGGGCGCTCGCCCCGCCCTGCCCGGTGCGGTGCCCGGGGACCTGGCTGCCCGAGCCCAGAGGCACAAGGCGCCTTTGTGTGGGTGGCTCCTTCGGGACCTCGTGAGTGCCGCCTGCCCAGAGCCGTCCTCAGGCGTGACGGGGCGGTTGAACAGGTAGAGGGAGACTCCGGCGGGGAGCCGAGCCTGTTTTTGTTGGAGAAGGCGAGAGGGCAGCGCCAGAGCCGACGCCGTGGCATTTGCGCTGGTGAGAAACCTCCAGCGCTGGCTCCCGGGGAGGCGCCAGAACCCCCCCCCCCCCCCCCCGCGTGGCGCTGCTTTTTCAGGCCACATTGAAGCGCTGGGAAGGAGTACTCTGTTTTGAACCACTGTCTTGATTTGTACCATATTTGGGATGAGGAAAACAGTGGGTGGGGGGAATTGGAGCGGGGGTAGAATTTTGTCCTCCTGGCTGCCTCGCTTACTTTTTAGTGTCCCCCAAGATTTCACGGAAAGGTAACAGAGGCTATTCAACCCTCTTTGTGCTCTTCCGCGAGAAGAAAGTCCACCAAGAACAACCAGTGAACTTTCGTGGGTTCCCCCTCCTCTAGACTCCTCTCCCCACCTCTCTTTCAAACTACTGTTTTTTTCCCCCTATCTGCTCTTTCAGGTGAGGATGGTGTTCTTTCTCAATATCTAGAATTGTATAGCGCTTTACAGTTTGCTAAGAGCTCTCTCTATGTTATTGCCCTTGGCCATCCCAGTAAGCCCATGAGGTAGGTAATACCGGTAAGATCAGGTCATCTTCCAAACTGTCCCACCCATGGCTGCAGTGTAATGGATGCTGATCATGTCTGCATCTCATTTCTCATGCTTGTGACATGCACAGAGACCGCATGGAGTGGGTGTCCTGGGTGTGTGGGATGTGTCCATGGGTATGTCTGACCATTTCCTGCTCCTCTGGGAGAAGGGATCTGTCAAGTGACCAGAATTTCCTGGACCTTTCCATACAATGAAGATGTAAACAACACATACTTATGCATTGGAGACTAGGCTTCCCTGGGTAAAGAGTAAATAGCAGTACCAGTACTGAGTAGAAAACGTTAGCTTAAAAGCTATCCATGTCCCTCCCCTGATTTATTTATTTATTTTGAGTTGAAGTCTCACTCTGTCCCCCATACTGGAGTGCAGTGGTCGCTCCTGGCCACCGCAGCCTCGACCTGCTGGGC